AGTTTAGCGAAACCTGATAACCTGAAACAGGGTGCCTGTCCTAGGAACGAATTTCTGACTTAACCGCCTTTGAAACTGTCCCAGAGAAACCTTAAATCACCCTAAATTTAATTTCACATCCCAGTCAGCTTCGCTCCATCGGACTGGAAACAAGTGGGAAAACCTGAAAACGGAAAATCGACAGCCAAAGTTGTGCCGATGAAACCGAGAGATTTTCTGCTCAGATAAATGAATGTCGTGCCCATTCTTCCTTCTCTCTGTGCTGTTTTCCATCGTGATTGTCAGCTTTACTCTCATTAAAAAACGTTCCAGCATCGTGAAGTGGCCCTGGTTTGCTTTTTTCTGGCTTTTTCTGGACACAGATTTTTCTCCCCAGCTCGATGTTTCATGGAGTCGCACCAAACCCTGCGGCTTTTCTCAAACACGTTTTGCAAACCAATAGCGATGCAGTAGAACCCCCAAAAACGAATTCCAATTCCCGAATTTCCGAGGAAATATACGGAAATATTCCTTTAAATTTGCTTTCACATCCCAGCGGGTGTGCAGGCATTGAACACAGCAGCGTCTGTAACTCACTAAGGCACGGATGGGCTGCTAATTAATTAAATTTTGAGGGGGGTAACACCAGATAAACTGGGAGAAAACCCCTCCTTCTCCCGTGCTTTTGTGCTGGCAGTATCTGGGATTTCCCCATCTTTCCGGAGGGAGAGACCCGATCTGTTACACGGCAGAAAATTTCACTTTCCAGAGCGGAAAATTTCACTTTTCCTTCACTCCAGGCTCCATTGGAATGACAATGGAAGTGCGAAGTTCCCAGGCTGTTCCACCTCGTCCTTGGGATGAGGAGTGACTCAAATTATTCCTGGCAGAGGTGTCTCAGAGTCTGGGCACAAATGAGCTTTGAAAACTCAATTAAACCCTCGAACCCTCGTTGTAATTGCCGCCCTTTGAACGCGCAGAGGTAATCCCGGCATCCCAGAATCCCAGAATTTTGGGTGGGAAGGGATCTTTGGAGATGTCCCAGGGCACAGTCCTGCCAAGGGAACAGAGCTGGATTTGCCTCAGTGCAAAATACCAGCACAAAATAAAAACACCCCCAGCAAATAATAAATAAATTAAAATAAATTAAAAGCACCCAGTAAAACTGGGGGTTGTATTTCCAGCAAATTTCAGGCTGGAGATTTCCTAAGGCTTTTGATGGATTTTGATTAATTCATCCATTCAGAAGCACAGCTCAAGCTGCAGCCTGTTCTCTAAATTTAGCTGCACCTTTTCAATCTTTTCTCTAACTCTAATCAATAAAATCTGGGGAGTCATAGACAAATTCCCAAATAAAAACTGGAAAGGTTTTCTGTGTCTCAGGATGCACAAGACCACATGAGGATAAAAGAGATTGTCTGTCTCAGCCCTACAGGCTGTTTTAGCTACTTTAACAGAAGTCCAGTTAAAGAAGGAGTTAAAATTCATGGAATTTTAACATATATTTTGTTCACTCCAAGAATTCTGAAGGTAAAAGTAGAAATAAATCCAGATTTGGGGGATGAGGAGATGAAGCAGTGGTGGCTGCTTGTGCAGAGCACACATTTGAATGCAAAGTTTGAAAGGTATAAAATAAATTCTGACTAAAGCAAACATCGAACTGCCTCAACTGGTACCTTTGAAGTGACTCTTTTTCAATAATGAAGCAGCTGAGAAGAAAATTAAGTTTTAAATAGACTAATAACAGCCTATAAATAAATAAAGCAGTTATGGGCGTCTGAGAAGAGCTTTGAACTGCCAAAATTATCGACTGTGGAAAAAAATGAAGACACTGTAACTTTTTGTTGAAGGACCACAAGGGAATAAATAAATTAAATGATACTTTTCCCTTCAAACCTGTCGCTCAGAGTAGGGATAATGACTAATTCCCATCCTTTCTCTGATGCAACACAAGCTGCTGGAACTCTCAGGAGCCCTGGTCATTCATGTGCCACCGAATGATAAAAGCTGTGGTTTGAGCTTCATCCAGGGAAGAATTTCCTGCTGGGAAGGGTGGTCGGGACTGGCGGGGGCTGCCCAGGGAGGTTGGGAGTCCCCACCTCTGGAATTGTCCAAGGAATAACAGGACATGGCACTCAGAGCTCGGGGCTGAGTGACACAGAGGGGTTAGGTGAAAAACTGGATGTTGGGCTTGGAATGATTCTGGGGTCACACGAACATCTCCCAGCTCAGCACGCAAAATCAGAGAAGCCAACCCACAAAAACCAACCAGAAATCCAAGGGATTGCAGCAATGCAGATTCTTTATTGTGCATGAAAAAGGTCACAAGCAGCGAGAGACAAACCAGCGCAGCAACAACGCACTGGAAACACAAAAATCCTAAGGCAGCAGCGAGGCCCAAGGCAGGGCTCCAGCCCAGAGATTCCCCTTGCCAGGGCGGGCCGGGGGCCTCGGAGCCGGGCAGAGCAGGGCAGAGCCTCAGCCGAGGCTCAGCACAGCTGGCTGGGATGGCAGAGAGGGGGCAGCTTCAGGAGGCAGCGCTGGGAGCCCCAAAGGCGCCGGCCGAGGCTCTGTGGGGTCACCGTGCAGGTGACAGGGACCCCGCAGCTCCCGGGGCTGCTGGGCCGGCCCTGAGCAGGGGCTGCAGCTTCATCCTGGCTCAGGCGGCAGAAGACACGAGGGGCTGCTGCTGGAGCCCGCGGGCGGAGGCAGCTCCGAGCTCCGGGGGGATTTGGGGTTTAGCACGAGCCGCAGCCTCCTCCATAGGACCTGGAACCGCGGCCATAGCCCCCATAGCCCCCACGGCCCCCATAGGAGCCACCGGAGCCGCCTCCGACGTAGGGAGCTCCTGCAGAGCCCACGGAGCTGTGCTGCGGGAAGGAGCTGAGGATGGGCCCGGGGAAGGTGACCACCGAGACCGGGGGCTGGATGACCACCGTGGTGTCGGGGCACTGCCTCACACAGGGCTCGTTGCAGGTGTCAGCCAGAGGGCAAGTGGAGGCCAGCCCACAAGGGGCACACAGGCTGGAGCAGGACATCCTTTGGTTTGGCAGGGAAAGCTGCAAGACAAGGCAGAGCCACGGCTCACGCCAAGGACTCATCCCAAATCCCTGCTGGCTCTCTCCCACCTGCAGCCCCTGCCCCAGGACGTGCTCTGGATCGTGCCAGGCATTCCCAGCTAAAGCCCTGGCACAGCTGAAATGGCTCCTTGGCTCCCCTGCTCCCCTCGCCATCCCCGGCTCTTGCCGGCCCATAGGAATGAAGGAAAACTCCCACATCCCAATCAGCCGGCTCCCACGGGACCTGAGTCCACGGGGAGAGCCCCAACCATCCGAACTCTGCCCTGGGAGGGCTGGAGGAGCACGGGGACAAAGATTCCTTGGGAAATGCCCATCCGAAGATTCCCTGGGAAAGGCACAGGTGAGGAAGGAAGGCTGGAGGGAGGACTCGGACTTACCAGAACGATCAATGAGAAGAGTCAAGTGGAGAGAGCTGGATGGCAACCTGTGGAGCCCTTGGACCTTTTATACAGTCCAGAGTGCCTGAGGCATGGGCCAGGGGGCGGGGGCAAACCCCCAGCTAGCCACGGAATCAAGCGGACAAGCCTCATGACACAAACTGGAACGTGGGGCAATTACATCCATCCTAATTGGGACTCGGAACCAATAAAGGTGCCCTGGAGAGCCACCGGGCACCTGCAGGGACAGACGGTGACCAATCACTGCGTGAAAGATCATTCATTGCTGCGGCTGAACTCAGAGCCCCAATAAACCCCGACGTGTCCCTAATCCCCCGCTTTGCTTATGCACGGGAGTTTGGGGCATCACTCAGGAGCGCTTTGAAATGCTGGGCACAGCCAGCGCATTTGTCATTAATCCCTTTTACGAGCTGCTAAATAGGGACGCCGGGAGGAAGAAGCCATCCCACCCACTCCGGGAGCATCCCAAACGCCAGACGTGGCAGCGAAGGTCACAGGACCGCCGAGTCCCAGCGTGGGTCAGGCTGGAAGGGTCATCACCCCGCTGTCCTGAACACGCAGGGTCACCCCACAGGGTTCCCACAGAGGGTTCTTGGAGGGAGATTCCCCAAGAGATGTTCCTGCCTCTGGAGTTCTCAGTCCCCGATTCACCTCATGGTCATGCAAAAAGCAGAGGAGATGGATCCCATGGCAGATGAAGCTTCATCAAGGATCCATTTTGGCACAGATATGGGTGGGACACGGGTGGGATCAGGAATTGGATAAATGAGTAAAGGGGGATGCACAGGAAGGGACAGGGGAGCAGAAAAAGGATCAAGAAACACTCAGACCCATGGCTGGGAGCCGGGAGCTGCCTGAGCCCTCCTGGAGGGCCTGGGTTGCCCAGCTGGCCCCAAGGGCTGGGCCAGGGGGTGTTGGCCGAGCCCCCCAGAGCCAGGCAGGCCCTGGCTGTGACCCAGGACAGGCCCAGCTGGGCACTGCTGGCTCACGGGCACAGCCAGGCTGAGGCTCAGGATGGCAGGGATTGGCATGGACACATCCCAAAGGATTCTCGGGATTCTTTGTCAGCAAAGTGAGGGATCAGGGACAAATCGGGGTTTATTGGGGCTGTGAGCTGAGCTCCAGCAGCATCATATCTGTCATGTAATGATGGGCCATGGCTGTCCCTGTAAGCGCCTCACTCTTGTCCACTCATGTCCAGGCCATTGTCCACAATGGGGGGATGACAGAATTTTCCGGCGTCCCTTCACATTATGAAGCTTGTCAGCGTGAATTCCAAATTACTGGGGAGGGGGGTGTGGGGGGGTCTGCCCCCTCCTCCTGGACAATGCCCCAGGCACTCTGGGGTGTATAAAAGACCTGAGCTCCTTGCAGAGTTCCATCCGCATCCATCCACTTGACTCCTCTCTTCACCAGGGTAAGTGCAGCTCTCCAAAGCCTCCTGGGGATCTCTCTCTGCCTCTCAACACAACTCCTTCTGCACACCATTGCCTCTTCCACTTCTACCTCTTCTGTTTTCCAGAAACCTTTACCTGTCAGAACCATGTCCTGCTCCAGCCTGTGTGCCCCTTGTGGGCTGGCCTCCACTTGCCCTCTGGCTGACACCTGCAACGAGCCCTGCGTGAGGCAGTGCCCCGACACCACGGTGGTCATCCAGCCTCCGGCCTCGGTGGTCACCTTCCCCGGGCCCATCCTGAGCTCCTTCCCGCAGCACAGCTCTGTGGGCTCTGCAGGAGCTCCCTTCGTTGGAGGCGGCTCCGGTGGCTCCGGTGGACGCCGTGGGGGCTACGGAGGCCATGGGGGCTATGGGGGTTATGGAGGCTATGGAGGCTATGGTGGCTATGGGGGCTCTGGGGCCTGGGGATGTTATGGAGGCTCTGGGGGCTATGGAGGTTATGGGGGCAGCTGTGGTGGCTACAGAGGCTGTGGGTCCTGCTAAGCCCCAGCCCGAGTGCGACCCCAGCCCCAGCACAGCTCCATGATCACCCCTTGCCCATCCCCGCTCGCCACCGCCTGAAGCAAGGACATCCCTCGGGCCCTGCCGGCCACCAGGCCTGCGACACCACCGGCCTGCCCGGGGCCCAGCTCTGCCGCCTTCGTGCTCTGCTCGGATCCCTTCAGGAATCGCTGCCCGCTCCCAGCACGGACCCAGCTCGGCTCCGGCTCCCGTGGCTCGGCCTGGGTTGCACCGGGCTCTGTCCATGGCCAGGAGACGCGGGGAGCCCTCGGCCTGGGCCCTGCTCTCCTGCTGATCCCCTCCCACCCTCGCACGACAATAAAAACTGGCTTGCATTGCAATGTTCACCCGGCTCTCGTCTCTCTTTGCTCCTCAGCCCCTGTCCCCAGCCCAGGGCCCTTTCCAGGGGGGTTCCAGGCAGCTCCGCTCGCACAAGGCCGAGGAGAAGCCCTGGCACTGATGCCTTGAGAATGCCGACCTACAACAGAGGCTAGACACAGTTCAGAGTAAAGCAGGGATTTATTGAAAGTATGAAGGGAAACACCATGGGCAGAACAGGAGGCTGGCCAGGGCTACACCCAAGATGGACCCAAAAAGGGCTGACATTTTTATAAGTTTGTTCCATCTGCATCTTGGGGTTCATTGTCCAATTACAACTTCAGGTTATGAAGTCCCATCCTTCTTGTCTTCTCACTTCAGTCCACCCTTAGTGATGCTTTGGGGCCTGGAACTCCTAACGACTGTCCTTGCAGCAGCAGAACTTCTCACAGCCCCGTGTTCCAAGCCAGACCTTGCTGGGCCTTAGCTGCCCCTGCTCACATTGAATTACAACACCCACATTAAAATAGGATTTAATATATGGGTAATATTGAATTCTTTGCAACTATTGGGATAATATGAATGGAGGATGAAATAATGTTGTCTAAAAATGAACTTAGAAACAAATAGGAAATCCCAAACCCAGGGAGTTCTTGTTGTTCCTTTGGTATCTGGAAAGAATTTTCACACAGATCAATAGAATGGACCTCAGAGGGGTTGGAACTCCAAGCTGCTGCTCCAAGAGCTTTGTGCTCCTTGGGACTGAACCCTGTGGACATTTCATGGTGTGGAGAGGAGACTGGGCAAGATCTGCTTGGCTCTATCTCCTCCCTTCCCAGCTGCCACCACCTCCAGCTGGACAGCCCAGAACCCCTGGGCCATGGGGCGCTCATCCCTGCATTGCCCTGGAGCTTTCAGTGAGTCCAACCACTGGCTGTCCAGCCCAAGAGGTGGTGTCAGGTTTGCTGCTCGGGCTGAGGGTTTGGAAGAGTTCCTGCAAGACCCTTGGAGCAATTCCCCATTGTGAGGGCGGGCTTTGGGAACATCCTGCGTTTCCTGCTGCTGGGAGAACACGGGCAGCTGGCTGGGATGTGCTGCCCAGAGCCAGCGGGGTCTGACATCCTGGGCTGGGACACACGGAGCCAGCTGTCCCCAGGCTCCAAGGGCGCTGCCCAGGGGGATTCCAACAGCCCGGCAGACAGCCGGGAGACTGTGGGCAGTGGGCAAAAGGGAGGAGGAAGCAAAACCAGGAGTCAAGGTTGTAATGCAAGACAGCTTTTATTGCAGGGGGAGGGCAGGAGGGGCTTGGCAGAAGAGCAGGGCCATGGCCAAGGGCTTGCCTTGTTCTGGCCCTGGGCAGAAGCGGGTGAGCAGGAGCAGCAGCTCCGGGCGAGTCTCTGGGATCGGGGCACACGGGGCCCCGTGGGGATGCTCAGGCGGGGCAGGGACAAGGCAGAGGTGGTTCCCCAGCTGGCTCGAGGCGTCCAAGGTGCGGAGCCCGGCGATGCCAAAGGGGGTTTCTTCCACACAGCGTCGGGTCGGGATGTGCCGGGGTTTCTCCTGGAGCTCTCTTTGGTCTGAGGCCGCACTCGGGATGGAGCTTAGCAGGGCCCGCAGTTGCCATTGAGGTAGCGGTGGCCGCTGCTCCAGCCACCGTAGCCACCATAGCCACCGTAGCCACCGTAGCCACCGTAGCCACCATAGCCCCCATAGCCTCCACAACCCCAGCCCCCATAGCCCCCACGGCCTCCATAGCCCCAGCCCCCATAGCCACCACGGCCTCCATAGCCCCAGCCCCCATAACCACCATAGCCCCCTCCGTAGCCTCCGTAGCCTCCGTAGCCTCCGTAGCCTCCGTAGCCCCAACCGCCGTAGCCTCCATGGCTTCCAAAGGAGCCACCGGAGCCGGCTCCGACGTAGGGAGCTCCTGCAGAGCCCACAGCACTCTGCTGCGGGAAGGAGCTGAGGATGGGCCCGGGGAAGGTGACCACCGAGGGCGGGGGCTGGATGACCACTGTGGAGTCAGGGCACTGCCTCACACAGGGCTCATTGCAGGTGTCAGCCAGAGGGGCCGGGGTGGCCACCCCACAGGTGGGGACGCACAGGCTGGAGCAGGACATCCTTCAGACAGTCAGAAATTTCTGGAAAACACACCCAGAAGAGAGCGAAGGTGTGAGGATGGAATTCCATGGAAGGAGAGAGAAAGAGAACCCCAAGAGGCTTTGGGGAGCTGCGCTTACCCTGGTGAGGAGACGAGTCAAGTGGATGGATGCGGATGGAACTCTGCAAGGAGCTCAGGTCTTTTATACACCCCAGAGCGCCTGGGGCTTCAGGACAGGGGGCGGTGGCAAAAAACGCAAGTAATTAGGAATTTACGCTGACAAGCTTCATCAGAGAGATAATGTCGCAAGATAATTCCACAGCATCCCCACAGTGGGGACACAGGTGTGAAAACGTGTCCTGGACATGACGGAAGTGATGGGAGGGACAGCTGTGGCCCATCATTACATGACAGACATGGTGCCGCTGGAGCGGCACGCACAGCCCCAATAAACCCTGATTTGTCCCTAATCCCTCACTTTGCTTACAGAGAAGAATTCCAGGCATCTTGCACTAGCTCTTTGAAACGCTGCCCCAGCCATCACCCCTGTCATTACCTGCCTTTTACGGGCTGGTAAACAGAGGCAGCGGCAGCTTGGGCAAAAGGAGAAGCCACTCTCGGGGTGTTCTCCAAATCCCACCAACTCCCAGTGCCAGCACAAGATGTTCATCCCCAGCTTTTGGGCTGCCCTGACACCTCAGTGAATTGTCCCCTCTAAGGTTCTGGAGAACATTGGGATTTCCACATCCCAGTTTCCCTTGATGGCCACACATAGAGCAGAGGGGGCAGATCGCACCTGTGGACAACCCCCAAAGCCACTGGGAAGGGGAGAGCGGTGGGACAGAGCCCGGGACAGCTGTGACAGAGGGGACACAACGGGAGGAGCAGCAGGGCAGCAGTGGGACCGGGTCCCTGTGGCTCCTCCAGCCCCATGGCTGTGAGCTGGGAGCTGCCCGAGCCCTCCTGGAGGGCCTGGGTTGCCCAGCTGGCTCCGAGGGCTGGGCCAGGGGGTGTTGGCCGAGCCCCCCAGAGCCAGGCTGGCCCTGGCTGTGACCCAGGACAGGCCCAGCTGGGCACTGCTGGCTCACGGGCACAGCCAGGCTGAGGCTCAGGATGGCAGGGCTGGGCACGGCCGCATCCCAAAAGATTCTCGGAATTCTTTGTCAGCAAAGCAAGGGATCAGACACAAGGCAGGGTTTATTGGGGCTGTGAGCTGAGCTCCAGCAGCACCGTGTCTGTCATGTAATGATGGGCCATTGCTGTCCCTGCAAGAGCCTCCCATCGGTCCAGGGCACGTTTCCACACCAATCTCCCTGATGTTGTGGTGTATAATTGTATTGCATCATTATCTCTCTGATTAAGCTTGTCAGCTTGAATTCCTAATTGCCTGTTTTTTTGCCACCGCTCCCTTTCCTGATGCCCCAGGCCCTTTGGGAGATGTATAAAAGGCCCAGAGTTTTCACAGAGCTCTATCCACCTTCCACTGCTTGACTCGCCTTATCAACTTGGTAAGTCCAAGCCTTCTCTCCTCTTTCCTTCTCCATCCGTGGCTTTCTCAGTGAACCTTTGTCTGGGGCGGTCTCGAGGAACCTTTGGTTGGAAGCTCCTCTTCCTCTCCTAGTGCAGAGTTAGGATGGTTGGGGTTACACCAATGAACTGAGGGCTTTTGGGAGCTTGAGGATTTTCCATCTGCACTGAATGTTAAAGTTCTCTTCATTCCCATGGGCTTGCAAGACCCAGGGATCGTGAGGGCAAGAGATCTGAGCAGGAATTTCAGTAGCTGTGTTCAGAATGCCTGAGATGATCCAGAGCATGCTGTGGGACAGAAGCTCCAGGTGGGAGAGAGCCAGGAGAGGAAGTTTGAGATGAGCCCGTGGCTCTGCCTTGTCTTGCAGCTTTCCCTGACTGTCTGAAGGATGTCCTGCTCCAGCCTGTGCGTCCCCACCTGTGGGGTGGCCACCCCGGCCCCTCTGGCTGACACCTGCAACGAGCCCTGTGTGAGGCAGTGCCCTGACTCCACAGTGGTCATCCAGCCCCCGCCCTCGGTGGTCACCTTCCCTGGGCCCATCCTGAGCTCCTTCCCGCAGCAGAGTGCTGTGGGCTCTGCAGGAGCTCCCTACGTCGGAGCCGGCTCCGGTGGCTCCTTTGGAGGCCGTGGAGGCTACGGCGGTTGGGGCTACGGAGGCTACGGAGGCTACGGAGGCTACGGAGGGGGCTATGGTGGTTATGGGGGCTGGGGCTATGGAGGCCGTGGTGGCTATGGGGGCTGGGGCTATGGAGGCCGTGGGGGCTATGGGGGCTGGGGTTGTGGAG